GGGGGGGGGGGGGGGGGGGGAAGGGGGAGGGGAGGAACGCCCTTTCGAACCACCACCACGATTAATCACGGCGGTGGTTGTTAGCTGCAACCCAACAAAATGCGACCGAACTAATTATGGTGGCGGTTGGCTGAAGAGGAGTAATTTCACGAGTGAACCAACTCGCAGACACAGAGAGAGAGAGAGAGAGAAAGAAAGAGAGAGAGAGAGAGAGAGAGAGAGAGAGGTAAAGGCTACTCATACTTGTACTTTCCTTTCTGAGAGAAAGAGTACGAGCATCCTTCACCTCTCTGTCTCCAGCAAGGAAGTGCTAGCGGAGAGAGAGAGAGAGAGAGAGAGAGAGAGAGAGAGAGAGAGAGAGAGAGATGGAGACATGGAGAGAGAGGGGCAAAGAGCCATGAGGACGAAGTGCATGCTACCCGTTGTGATAAGGTTCGGGGAAATTACGCCGCGGTCACAACTACCATAGTTAGTGAAAAAATAATACTGTAGTAAAAAATTCAAATCAAGGAAAAAAATGCTGTTCATTCGTTGGGATATGTGAAAGGAGTCGAGCAAAACAAAAAACATAAAAAAAGGGGAGCCTCGTTGGGATGTCCAGGAACATTCCAGGAACATTCCAGGACCATTCCTCGTCGGGCAAAACCAAAAACATAAAAAAGAAGTCCGTTACTTTCTTTCCGCTAGTTCCCTGACTGCCTTAACGGATATCCTATAAAACACCGTTAAGGAGATCCGTTAGTCTCCGTTATACCTTTTAATTGTTTCCTTTAATTTTTTTTCATGATTTTCTTTTTTTTTTTAAGTCTCCGTTATGCTAACTTTACACAGATCGGTACTTACTGTATGTTCCCTGACTGCCTAACGAAGACTAACGGAGATCGATAGGTAGGTCACCGTTATTACAGATCGATACTTGTGCTTCTAACGGAGACTAACGGAGACTAACGGAGACTGACGGAGACTAACGGGGACTAACGGCCTGCTGAGATCCATAGGTCACCACCGTTAAGACTGCGCTCTAGATGACTGACGCCCTCGTGTCGTTGCCTAATTTATTTATTTATTATTATTATTTTTTTTTTTTTGCCTAACTTATTTATTCCCTCACCACGTCCGCTGCATTGTGACTCTTTTTTTTTTTGGGCGACGGTTTTTTTTTTGCGACGTTTGTTTTTTTTTTGCAACTTTTT